AAAAATCTGCATAATCTCTTTAGAACAAATAAAATAGTAGCTTGGGTACCCATGGGTTAACCTATATCCTACTGGGTTATTTTTTTGGGTTTTAAATTAACCTTGATGATTGTGGGTTTTCGTGGGTAGGATATAAACTGGGTTGGGTTTTTTGTGGGTTGGGCTGGGCTGGGTTATTTTACCCATTTTAACATCCCTAATCTTGCGAGGTTGAATTATGTGGATCAATTGAAATGTTCCAAGGAGTTCATGCATCTTGCGAGGTTGGCCCAACGGGTATGTTCTGTTAGCATGTTGACTTTTGGTTCATCTCTTTATATTTGGTTTTGTGGAAAGTGTCAGCCTATCAGACCTATCTTATAAATAAGTATGATCGTGATGGCCAGCATTTGTGAGCTGAGAAGAGGGGCAGTTTAAGGATTCTGCAGGCCTGCTTCATTCCGAAGCAACGCGTGTAGAGACATAAGTCGCTGAGATCGATATATAGAAGATCCTGTTGAAGGCGAAGCTTTCTGAGATGGAACGTAAGATCTAGGAAGCTGATAATTCTCAGGAAGCCAAAGAAGCTCGTGGGAAGTCCTCTTGCTGAGTTTGTTTCAAACCTAGAGTGGCATAGTAACATCCATCTTGCAGTGTTTTTACCAGATAGATTCACCGGATTACTTTGATTTTGACCAGCATGGGTCAAACATTGGACCAGGAGATGGCCTCGGTGTAAACAAAATGTTACAAGTGAAATTCCGTATGAAGCAAAGGGATCATTAAAAACATGTGAAAATACAAGAGCACACACACAATGGCTGGTACTGAAACAAGCCTTGATTATTTTGAAACAACACAATCACTCAAACTCAACTAAAACTTCTCACACTTACCAATTAACCGATACTCATAAATAATCTTCAAAAATACATTGAGGTTTCTCCAATGAAATTTTATGTTTAGATCTTCCTCAGCTTGGATCCAACCCTTTCATTTTCCTATCCTTCCTTAAGACCGATACGCGATGATAACACAATGAAAATCATCAATGTCCCTAACTTCATATCGAGCAAAACCAGCTTCGTTAATAACAAAGTCCCACTCTTTCAAAGTCCGTTCTTTGCCTGTGGTTGTGTGAGTCATCATCGCCACATCAAGAATCAATCTGACTTCCTCTAACTTCTTATCTCTTTCTTCCATCATCTTCGTATTTTTCTTCTCTTTGATTACAGATTCCACTATAAATATTTTTCCGATATTTGCTTCTTTGCAATTCTTCAATATTTTTATGCAATCTTTGTCTCCCCAATCGTGTAACACCCACTATCATCATTTTCAAAATTTACTTATATTAGACCACGTATTTGATAAACTTAATATATATATATTAACATATTAATTTATAATCAATTAGGTAATATACATTTATATCCTTTGGGTTAAATAATCCTAGATTTTTTGTTTAGAGTTGAGGAGTGGAGTTTTGGGAATAGGTTTCGAATTTAAAAAAATTAAAAAAACTTAAAATTTTCAAAATAAAAAGTGCTATTTTGGTCATTTTAATTTTTGAGGTTTATTTTTGTGATAAAAACTTAAAATAGGGCTATTTTAGAGATATGCCCTATAACATATAATCCAATATTATTAATGTAAACTCATTTTCATTTTTTTTTTGAACAACATTCATCTTAGTTATATCATAAGAAAAAAATACCTAAAATCATGGAAAACATGATATAAAGCAAAATGTAATTATAAATTGTTTTATATCTTGATCTTTAATAATAGAAAATGTTATTTTTAGATAACAGCAAAATACTTATGATAATTATTTTTTTGCAAAAAGAATATATTTTTGACAATTTTATCATATTAATTTATAACCAATTAGCTATTCTAATATATAATCTAATATTTTTATCACTTGATAGTAATAGTCATTCAAAACTCAAAAGAGCATAGAGTATGTGAATAATTTTAACCTTAATGAAGACAGCGTCACATTTTGGAACGGAATCAAACATGTTGCCTCCAACATTCTCTACACCATCCAAGATTTGAGCACCTTCGATGACATGAGGAAGATCAAAGTTAATTCCTTTGATCCAAGGAAACTCCTTCACCAATATTCCCATCGCCTCTCCGTTACCACCTCCTACGTCCACCACCGTAGCCACGCCGTCAAACAAATCGTGACAAGCTCGTGCGACACGTGGCACCACGCGCCTTGCGTCACAAGCCATGGCCTCATTGATCATCTCGCCAAAGCACGGATTATCCTCTGTCAAACCCCACACATCCTTACCATGCACCGCATCAAACGGTGGCGGATGCGAACCACTGTCCGGAGAGGAGACAACTGAGCTCAGTCTTAACCACGGAGCTAGCATCTCCTGACTTGTTTGGAAGAGAATCATAGGAGCCAGAGACTTGCCGTCACGTTTTGTGATCATCATGCGGCGAGAGAGTGGTGTGTTAGTGTAGCCTGTGGTTAGGCCATCTTCTGTGGGGACTTCCTTAAAGACTCCTTGGTGCACAAGAAACCTCATTATACGGAGCAGATGTGTCGGAGAGGCAGATATTGTGGAGCAGAGCTCGGCTAGTGTTATGGGCTGTGAGGAAGGATGGTTTTCAATGGCTTCAGGTATCTTAAGATCGATGGCACACTTTGCAGCTGCCATATCTACAATACCGAAGGCATATCTCCATATGTCTAGAGAAGCTTTAGCGTCTTCATCTACTAAGTTTCTTTTACTTTCTTCCATTTTGTTTCTTTATGTAAAGTAGATCTAAAGGGAGGTGATTTGAAAGTTGATTACGTAGGGTCCTTTTATAATCTTAAAAAAATGAGGGTAAAATAGTAATGTAATTTTGTAAAGACACAATCGTAATTTCGGTACAACAATACATGAGCACTAGTCTTTAAAAAGGGCATCCCAAGGTTGGTGTGTGTGAGCACTAGTCTCATACATGAATCCTACGTATAGGGAGAGACCTCTATCGGGTGTGCAAGCACTAATTTCGTAACTAGGATCCTTGTTCGTTCTTTGGATGCTTAGGTGTTGTGCTTGATTCATGTTAGGGTTAAGCTCTTTATATTCGGAATTGCTATATTCGAGTCTCTAGACTTTGGGTTTTAGCATATCATTCCTCAATGAATGATTTCTCTAATACTCACCTCTCATTTTCTTTTTCTTTTTTTCTCAGATGAGATTGACGAATAGGTTACTGATCGGATGGGATGGGCGCTTCTAGGCATTTTCTTTATTTCTTTTCCATATTTTCATTTTACCATTTCAGACTTTTATTTACATTTTTGAGATACAAAATGTTGTTGGCGAGACACTGTTCTCGAGTGAGGATGAAACGAGTGTTACAAAAACATATGTTGATAAACCTATGTATGGTAAACATGTCTCTTAATGAAAGTTGTTGTTGAATCTGTTAAAAAAAAACAGTGGAACGTGATCTTTTTTTAATCCCGACATAGTCATATGTTATCTCTGTACTTACACATGTTTACCAGTACTTACAATATTCTGAAACCATTTTTGTGAATTAAATCTTATTCTAAACTCATTTCTTTGGCTTCTTTACGTGCCTTTAATCAACTAATGCGGATCTTGTCCATACTTCATCGTCCATCATACTTTAAAATATTTCTTAATTTATTGATTTTATACTTTTCTCTGTTTATTTATATTTACTCTGTAATGCTCTGTTTAGTATTTTTACTCTGTTTATTAACATGTAAACCATATCTGGTTCGTTAGTTTTAATCATTTCTGATGGAATTTGGCTGTGAATTAGATCTGGAGATAGAAATAAAGTCCGAATCAACATCAAGTATGAAAACTGTAAAGGCTTAAGCCTCCTTTTAACCTGCCAAACTTTCATTTTCTTCCTGGTTTGCTATCTATTATTCTTGTCAGTATTCCACTTCATATCCTTATCATAAGGAGCCTTTAAAATTTACATAAATCAGATTTCTCAATATAGGAGGCAGATAAAATCTGTATAAACCAACGAATTTATAAGATAATGAAGATGGTGCACATGGATCCGTCCACGAGTTGCGCTGATATCAATATCATAAGCTTCAATAAGACAAGCCTTGCAGGCTATGCATTTATCTAAATCAGTGCCAGGTCCAGACTTAAAAGGCGCCTAAAACATATTTAAAAATATTTCCCCTCAAATATAATTATTTAATATTTAAAATATATAATAAAAATACAAAATATTATAGACCAAGTTTGTTTCCAAATAAATAATATAAAAAAATTCAATATGTTATTAATAAAAAAATAGTTCCCTGTTTTTTTTTCTGTAGTAATTTATCAGTTTTGAATAGTCAAGTGTCTTATTATGAGAAAAAAGTTTTACAAACAACAGAAAGAAAAAGAAGGAGATTAAAATTACATAGATAATTAACTTAATTGAGGCTGAGAAAATAAAATTAAGAAGGAGAAGTCTTCTTCTTGAGGTATTGACTAGATAAGTGTAAAGAAAAATATTATATAGATTTGAGATGGTAGAGAAAAAGTATTGAAGATAGAGAAAACAAAAAGAAAACAAAAAATGTTCCAAAAGAGAAAAGGAAAACAAAAATAAAAAGGCACTGTCATATAGTAAAGGAAATACTTAGGTTTGGTTTAACTTATTTATTTTTAGTACATAAAAATGGAAGCTAAAGTTGTTAGATATGACTACGTCTTTTGCTAAGATCAGACATCTAAACTATTAATTTATATTATTAAAACTAAAATACACAAATAAATAATCTTTAAATTAATAATTTAATTACAATTATATCACTAGAAATGAACTAATCATAATTTTTAGTATTAATTACTTTTAACAATTTTGTCTTAAAAAAATACATTCAATTAATTTTATTTATAGTTTAATGGTTGTTTCAAATGACAATAGATCTTAATACAATTTTTTAAAGTAAACAATTAATTAATTTATCCGTAATTGATTATATATAATTTAGTAAAAATAATATGATATAAAATCAATATAAAACTATTTTTACCATTTCGTAAACATTAAAACATATAATTTTTTCTCATCCCATATAAGTAATTCGTTTATATGATATATATCAATTATTATTTTTAAAATTTAAATATTAATATACATGAGTAATATAAACTGACATAAAATAACAATTCAAATCACTACTTATTGTATTACTCATAATTTTACATGCACTGAAAGTCTAAAGACATAAAACAACGTTCAATATTGTATAATTAGTATAATAAAAACAAAACAAGATTTAATGTAAATAATAAAATATATATTATATGTTCTTAAAAGGAAAAACAAATATCTACATGGTGTACGTCTCAAAATCAAGTAAACTATTAAAATTGAAGAACAATTTAAAATTAACTCTCACTTCATTATTAATGTTACAAGTATATACCACTGACCTAAATTCAGTTTACTTAATTAACCAATCACCACCCTTTACCTTAACCAATCATACCTCTTTATAGAATTTGTAAAAATCCAAAAAATCCAAAAATAGTAAAGGCCGTATACTGCTCCATTAAAATCTATATGGTGTTCTTTCTATTTCAATATAATTCATGTGAATTTTTACATATATTATGAAAAAATGTTAATAAATATATTATTTTTTGTGATTAGCTATTTCCCATAAGTTTTACCCAGTCAAAATTTAGTAAACTCAATTATTGCTATAGAAGTTTACAATTTACCTTTATTATATGCATTGAAAATGTGAAATATGTATCTTTCAGAAACAAAATATTTTTCTAAAACATATATTATATTGAAACAGAGGGAGTAAAATTTAATAAGATAAAATTTCATGTAGATCCGGTTTTACAATGTCAAACCACACTTATTATAGAATAATCTTAACAAAATATATCTAAGGAAATATATTTGTAATGTTAAACTCAAAATATACCTACAATCTAGGACATCCTAATACAATCTTTAAACTGAGTATTCATTTGGTAACAAACATCATAAGTGTTTGAGCTGTTTTATTGTAACAGATCTTAATTTATTATCTTAACTAATCAAATTTAATTGGTCTTAAAAGAAATTACCCTTTCTCACTAAAATAAATAAATAGTAGTTATAATATAATCAGTGTGTTAAAACTCGACAGGACCCGAGATACAATAAATCTGATAACCTATATGTAATTTTTTTGGGGTTTTTTTTTTAAAAAAATTGCTATATAAAAATTCAATAAAAGTCGCAAAAAATCATTAAAATCTGGAATTCGACTACCTGTCCAGCCACTGGTTGATCCATTCAGTAGATAATTTTTAATTATTTTTTCCTTAGATATTTGACTATGTTAGTAAAATTTTATTTGTTTTATATATATAAAAATAGGTTTTTAGCTTTTAATCATCTTCTTCTACTGTTGACTTTGTTTGTCCTTCGATTTTTTTTTATTTTGTTTGATTTTTCTTTATCGTGAATCTGAGATACAACGTGACTTCTGTAATTTTTATTTTATTTGTCGTTTTTAAATTTATAAGAAGATTTCACTATACCACTGGAAGAAAATTAATGATGATGGAGAATGAATTACAATTTATTACAATTTAATATTTATTTTTGGTTTATTTTAGATTTAGAGTTTACTTTTATTACTCACATTAGATATTAAAATACTAATAAATTTGAAGTCATGATATTATTTTTAATATGCTATAATTTCGACTTTTTCACAAAAAGCTAAATAGTCTAAATTTCCTTTTTATGTGAAATAAAAATAAAAGATAAAAAACTAAGTTTAAGTATTTTCTATATACATTTTAAAACAAAATCTTATATTTTAATAGCTAATATGTTATTACGTAGTGAAATTAATTAATCTATTAACATGTGTTCACCCGCAGTTGACCCAATAATCTAGTAATCTGGAAAATTGTCTAGTTCAGGATCTGGATCAGAGTTAAAAACAACTAAAAATAAAGGTTTGAATGATAAAAAAATTATATAGATATCTGGAGAACTAATTATTTAATATAAATTGTAAAGAATTTTTGTATAAACTTTTTACCTAAATTTTCATAATTATTATAGGTTGATTCGAAAAGCAAAGAACAAAAAATAATTTAGAAACAAATTAGGTGCATTAATAATACTTAATATTATAGTTTTTTGATATTTTAGTTTATATATCTTATTGTTATAATATAGATCGTTCTTAATTATGTATGGAAGAAGTAGAACATATATTCTGGTTTGAATTTAAATTTATTGATTTATTTATTTAGAAAAACTAAAAGGTCATTATTGACCTTTTCAGATAAAATTAGATCAAGGAAAATGCATTAATAAACAGGAAAAGGCAACCAAAAAAAAATATAGTTAAATTTATTACTTCAGTGGCATATGATTGTAAATAACTTAGAAAATTAAGGATAATCTATTTGGGTACTTCTGTTTTAATAAAGTAGATTAGATTTTGACCAGCACTTTGAAAGCGCGGAATAAGTTTTTGGTTAATTTTTCTTATTTAAGAATTACTACAATTTTGTTTTTTTTAATAATTTTAATATTTGAATTTTTACGTCTATAATTAAAAGTAATTTATATTGTTGTCTTATAGTAAACCGGGTTTGATGTTTAGGTACCATTACATTTTCCGGATCGGTTTAGTTTAAGTAATGTTGGATTGGGTTTGTATTTATAGTTTTTCGAGTTATTTGGGTTAGAGTGTTTAGGAACCGTGTAAGAACCAAACATTTTATGGATC